TTTTTTTTAATAAATGCTCCACAGGTATAATAGGCGAAAATAGCAAAAAACTTACCTAATACGTACGGAAAGATCATGGGTATCGAATAAATGTGATTTTTAGATTAAAAAAAAATTTTTTTTTTGTTTTTATAAATATTAAAACGCAATGTTTTTATATTTATAATGTGTTCTTACGCATTTTATGCAAATCTTTTTCAGAACACTTATAAAATCTCCAACACTACAAAAAGCTGTATGTATTTTGTTTTATAACCGTCATTGAACAGGCGACGCAAACTTCAGTTAATGGCTACCAATTTTTCGCTCCGTAGCCTTGTAATTTTGAGCCTAATCCAGAAGACAAGGGAACTCAGAGATCAGTACCGCCAGAGGTATTGATTAGTTATGGGAACTTGGACTTTGTGACCCCGATGGATTTAACGTGCACCAGGCTAGATTCGAAGACTCACCATCTCTCTTAAATATTTGCTTGATTTCAAGCAGGCTTGCTGATTTGCAAGTGGTATAAGTAACAACATAGCATACACACAAAATTCTAGATGTTTTCAAATGCTAAATGTTTTCAAGATTTAATTCCCTCTTTAACCTAGTTACTGATGCACTTTAACTCCTAACAAAAATACAGTTAAATAATCTAGTTACTCATTCTTTGTAATTATTCTTTCAATGAAAGAACACAAAACATTTTTTAATATTTTAAGCATTCATTGCAAATATTAATCAATCAAGAATAAACTTTAATTTTTTTACTTGTTTTACCTACCTTTTGCAGTACGTGGGAAACATCATGCAGTAGCTAATGAATGGGGAAAAGCAAATCTGAAAAAACTTGAATTTTTAACACGCAAGCATTGAACAGAAAACAGTAAGTGATCTGATAGAAGCCACTCTTTATATACATTTCTAAAATCCTTATCAAAATTGAAAACTAAAAAATATGCACTTTGATGTTTGAAAATTAATATTTAACCTAGGGGGAAGCAAAATCGATATCGCAGAACAGGAGACACATATAATAAACAACAAGACCGGTTTGATTGCTAAAGGGCACAGAGATGGGTTAAAAGACGATTATTATAAACGCCTTCTAGTTCCCCCCACGTGATAACCTTTTTTTGATGTTCATGACTAGCGCTTCCCTTACTGTAACTTGTCCGATCTCAATAACATTTTTGTCTTTATCTCACGCAATAATTAATTTGCGACACCGAATGCGTAAGCTTTTTGTTCTTTTTGTAATGTGAATTCTAAAAATGCACATTGAGGGTGGTCTTTACGAAGAACCCTGCATTTTTCACCGAAAACTTAAAATCCATATAAATATTGGCTTGTATTGAACAGACACTATTCGATCAAGTAATATTAAATATAAAATTCTGCAACACTTTGATTAATTAATAATTTAATAATTCATAATTGAAAAAATACTATTTCTTTTAAATATTTATTTCAAGAAATCCATATTACCACGTTAAATGTTACAGATTTACTAGTTTGTTTGAGTAAAAACAAGAGAGAATTTTGTCTTTGTTTTGTCAGCATTGTGGTCAGTGCGAGTCGGGTGCGGAATTCGTATCAACCAGTCATCGTTGGGATTCGAACCCGAGTGACCTCAATGAGATGCAAACGCTCTATCACCTCAACCAGCACGAAACTATTAAGGGTTACGTTAGATCCTAGAATCTCTAAGATTTTATCCTAGTACATGAAAATGTGGATCAATAGATCAAAAATTCCAAAAGTTGTTTAGAGTCCATTGCACGTCTAAACATTGTAAGGCGCTATGTTTTGCACATTGCAAAAAACTTAAATTGGCATAAAAAAGTGCTAGTTTTTTCCATTTTAAAAGTGAATTTTACGCTGTATTAAATAAAACAAACGGCCTTTAGATTATTTAGCTGCGTGACACTTTTTAGACACCAAAAAAGATTACTTTACAATTAACGAACAAAAGACAAATGAAAATATATTAACACCTAGTAAAGACGAAAAATTAAAACACCAACTTTACAATATCATTTTTGTGGAATAAAAAAAGTCAAAACATTGTTTCTATGTTGTTTGGATTGATAACTTGTCAGGCAGCCAAACAATTTTCACTACGTTTTTATAAACTCGCTTTCATATCTGTAAGGATGGAATCTTAAAATAAAAGTATCAACTACTTTTCCGACTAGCAGGAGCACTCAAATAGCTCCTTGAGCTCAATGCCAAATGACAATGCCTTTTCAGTTGTTTTCAAAGTGCTTTATTTATCTTCATATAATTACCAAATAGAATTTATAGTTAATCAAAAGTTTGACTATTTTCCAATCAGCAGGTATATTAAAATGCTAGCAGGTGCTCTCGATGACAATACTAATATCAATCGTTTCTTTACCACTACATGCAGCTTTGTTATTATCGTCAATTAAAATTTGTAGTGTGTCCACTACTACAAAGATGCAATTACAATTCACTAGTAGTTATATAAGACGTGTTAACACGATTCTATGTTGGGGTACCTTTTCAAAGATGAAGGTAGACATTGTCGATAACTACTAGCCCCACATTGGTGACCCGAAATTGTTATAAACACGCCTACCTTGACAAAAACTCCCACTTCGATTTGAACACGCCTACTTCGATGGGTGAACATATTGAACAGTTGACTTGCAACTTGTGACTGCGACACTGCTACTCAATCTCGATCACAAACAGCGTACACCGTATACACTCGACTGCTAAAGGCAACACCGGAGCGACCACAACCGTGAACTTAATACAGCTCTCACAATCAGCATTCAAAAGTACGGTGATCTTAANTTTTTTTTTTGGTTTTCGGCTTAGGCCGATTTTTGGTGTTGGCATGTTTGCCAAGCATTTTTACCTTTTTTATAAATGTTATCTTATAAATAAACTATGTTTTTCTGCATCCTTAACTATGAGTCTGGTGAGTAATTTTACAGTATAAGTTGTTTTCTCTTCCTTTTTTTCAGCATGCTCCATTGTCGCGCTTACCTAAAAATTTGCACCCACTTCCACTGTTCACCATTATCACCTTTTCGGCCTTTACATAATTACTTTCTAAATTTTATTTAATCTTAAGTTGACTTAATGTTAGTCACCCCCCTTTTTGATTTAGCCACACCACAGGTTACCTTTTCAAAGATGAAGGTAGACATTGTCGATAACTACTAGCCCCACATTGGTGACCCGAAATTTTTATAAACACGCCTACCTTGACAAAAACTCTCACTTCAGTTTGAACACGCCTACTTCGATGGGTGAACATATTGAACAGTTGACTTGCAACTTGTGACTGCGACACTGCTACTCAATCTCGATCACAAACAGCGTACACCGTATACACTCGACTGCTAAAGGCAACACCGGAGCGACCACAACCGTGAACTTAATACAGCTCTCACAATCTGCACTCAAAAGTACTGTGATCTTAATACAGCTCTCCCGGCTTCTCACAAAACGGCAATGAATCAATCAATGGTATCCCATCATCAAATTCTATCACAGCTATAATTCTGGTGGAGGAGTACTGTAGTGTGTCTACCACTACAAAGATACAATTTCAATTCACTAGTACATAAGACATGTTAACTCGATTCTATGTTGGAGTACCTTTTCATAGATAAATGTTGACATTGTTGATAACTACTATCCCCACAAATTTTTACCGCTTTGCCAGGAGCAAAGAATGAGTATGCTAAAATGTTAAATGGTACTCTGGAGGACAATAAAGTCTTAAATAAGGATTTATAATCTAACACAGTAGAAATTCAGTGTCAATCTAAATTTCGAATATTATTCGACTAATTAGAGTACTCAAATTACAACTAAAATTATAAGCCTTATGGGCCTACGACTAGAATTATAAGCCTTCTTAAATACAAGCTGCATTATTTCTTAAATGACACTAGCAAGATTTTTGCTAATTAAATCTTCAACCACTTTCCGACCTAAAGCAACAAACCTATAATTGAAAGCAGAAAATAATTAGAATATTTTTTCAAAATAGACTTATAAACAAACCATTTTTTTTTTTTTTTTGTAAAACTTTCTAATTTCTTGGGGGAANTTTTTTTTTTTTTTTTTGTAAAACTGAAAACGCAAAACGTAGGGAGCATCACTCGAAACTCCCTTACGTCTTTCTTTCAAAATGATTGTCCGTTGCTTTTCGTTTTAAGATTGACAACAATAAAATTATTTTCTCCTCTTTAATTTATTAATATTTTATATATTTTTAATTAATTTATTTTTATTTTATTTATTTTTATTTTATTTATTTTCATTTTATTTATTTATAGTTTATTTACTTTTATTTAACTTATTTTCATTTTATTTATTTACATTTTATTTATTTTTATTTAATTTATTTTAATTTTATTTATTTTAATTTTATTTATTTATTTCCAATAACCGGCAAAGTATCTCGTAGTCTTGTTACGACATACCTGAAGATTTTACACATAATGCATGCTTAAAGTGTGTTTAATTGAATCGGGCATGTTTGTGGAAACTAAAAGAAAATTTAACTTACTTTGAACTCTTCCAATTTCTTATTATCCGCAACTTTTATTGGATCAGTTGAAGTTTCAAGATCGGTCTGCAAATAAAATTTGAATTTAAAAAAAAACTTAACGTTAAATATCTAAGATTTTGCACTTTTAAGAACAGTTACTTACGCAGTAATGAATCAAAGGCTTGAAAACTGTCATCAAGTGGCTTTTCTGCAGCAAAATTGAAGGAAATCATAAAGAAAATAAAATTATAAATAAGAAATTACTAATCAAAATAGCAATCGTTAAGAAAATGAAATGATTCTAACCTCTTGATTAAACGATTAATCAAAAATGATTCAACGTTTTAGTTAGCAGCTTAAATTTAAAATTTTCAATCAAACACAAATCAACACTTGCGAAATCAAACACTTGACGAAGTCAAACACTTTCTTTTATTTATTTTTTTATAACCGTCGTTGAACAGCCGACCCAATTTTTTGTGTCTACGACTACTAATGTTCAACTCAGTAACCTTGTCATTTTCAACCCAATCCAGAGGACCAGGAGACTCCTGAATCAAGTATTGGAAGAAATTTGCCTTCGTGGAGGACTTTTTGATGGAACCAACCCAAATTTGCGTTACATAGAGAGGAAGACCACGAGAACCTCAAATGGTTAGCCTGGCGGCAAAGGGACTCTAAACCATGATCTGTCTACTACTGAGAATATTTTACGTCAGCACTGTGGTCAGTGCAAGCCGGATGCGGAATTCAAATCGACTAGCCATCACTGGGATTTGAACAAGGTTCACCTCATTTTAAGGCGAACACTCTATCCCTTGAGCCATCACGGCTCAAATCAAACACTTGACGAAATCAATTGTTTGACGAAAAGGGTTACTATTTTTTTACAACGAATTTTGATTGAAAATTTCAGTCAGTGAGGACATTAGCAAGCGCGACCTTTGGCAGTGCACTTTAAGTGAAGTGACAGCATACTAAAGCTGTTTGTTGTTTAAAGAATAGAGAAGGCTAAACGATTAAAACTGTTTTTCGAAGGCTTAGCCGTAATATGAAATGATACTTTTTTGAGAGAATGATATGCTACTTTTATAACAGCTGAGATTAACTGTTACTCACAACTGTTAGGTCAAGTTTAGCCAATCTGAAGCCAGTACTGAGTACTCTTATTTTTAAAATGGCGCAAAACGTCAATATGGAGAAAAGCCACAGTTTTGTGAAAGCGAAAAGCATTTGCGGTCGAACTTTTTAATACTTAAAAACTTACTCCAATGCTGCATTACCTGGGCTCATAAAAATTTGCTAAAACAAAGAATACGACAGTGATGTTGATAGTTTTCATCTAGGTGAAAAAATGTCACCAAATTGGCGATTTTTTAAAAAAGCGTAGTAATTTTTAAAATATTTAAGTTATTTATCTATTCTAAAGAACAGATAATTCTTCGCAGCAAGATTATATATATAGTTTAAAATCATAGCGTTGCTTCAAGAATAAGGAATTTAAACTATGGCTTTTTTATGACGAAAACAGGGTTAAAAGCAATTATTAATACATTTCTAGTGGTTAGTAACATTTGTTAAATTAATGTCGCCAGACTTATTAAACGGCACCGGGAAAGGGTAAACATAGGGTAAACAAATTAGTTCTTATGCCTTGTTATATACTATTGTTGCAAATTCACTTATATTGTTCACTATTATTGGAGCTATATCTTCTGATCACAGAAATACATAACTCCTTATATATATATTTTTCTTCATTTTAACAGGGAACTGTCCATAATGTGTATTTTTAGTAACCTTGTCAAAATTAAAATTAAAAATATACGCACATGCATGGTCACAAATTAACATTTAAGCAAGGATAACAGGAAAAAAAAACACTATCTAAATCTAAGCAATCACAATTAAGATAGGCAAGATTGAAAGGATCGAAATCTGTTTGATTAATATAAAGCTGTCTTAAGAAGTAGAACATAACTAAATGGTGGTTATTAGAAATGCATTCAAATTTCATTAGTCAACCTAACTGATTTTGGTGCTCATTGCTATATGATGAACGCTTTCGCCCACAGTGAGCTATTGGGCCAGGCATGATGATAAATATTATTGAATATATTGATCATAGATTTCCTCATATGTTCCTTTTCTGAGGGTAGTGACTATATCCTCAGTAGACATTGTTTGTTCCTCTACTAATAGTTTGCGTTATATAGTTTAGAAAAGAGGGGGCAACGAACGAAAAATAAATTGTATTCATTAGAATTGTATTCATTTAAAATTATTTGATCGAAAGCAAGTGATTATCCTTTAAATGAAAAAATATAGCAGTGCTGCCTAGTGAAAATAAAAAGAAAAAAAATTGTGATCTCCTTTCGGCTGTCACAGGTTACTCACTAGCAAAATGGCTGTTGGCTAATTTTTTAAATATATCGTTCGAATGATAAAATTCTGCTTTACTCTCAACTCAAGAAGTATTTATGGGATCTCTCTAATCCCATATCTCACAAATAAACTCACCAACTTAATGCATAACAAAATTGAAAGTGAAAAAAAGAATTCTAAAAAAATTAGCAAACAGCAGCGGTCTCCATAGCAAAGCATGCAAAGACGACGCATGCGCACTGTTTACTATTACTCTCGAATACAGTTGAAAAGAGTGATGACGTACAAATAAGATGCGCACGCCAACAAATCCAAAACAACACCCATTTTGTCAATGGGTAAAAATTATAAACCATTTTAAATAATGCGCTCACTAATTGCGGAAATTCTCTCGTAGTTTGATATTTGCGAATCAAATTCTTGATTGTTAGCACATTAGGTCCAGTTGACCATTGAGGTTCAACCTTCGTTTGAGCCACAATGAGGAACCAGCGTGGTATTTTTTTAAAAATGAAACTTCAAACCATTTTATGACGATATGCACCAATTTCAGTTCAGTGGGTTAACTAGTTATTTTGTAATTAATATTTAAAGTTGCTCGATTAGCCTAAAACGCAGTTAGCTTTCCCATCTCTGTTGATGATGTCAGAATTAAGGACTAATAGAACTCCCATCACCTTCTGATACATGCCGTCGCTCGTAGTACATTGATAAAAATTCTAAAAAATAACTCCAAGCACTTACAACAAGTATTGCTTTACATTTAAGACACCATATAAACAATTTTTAATGTACCAAAAGGTGAAGAATTGGTGCAAAGTCATCAAACGTGATGACCAAAAAGAAAGAAAAAAAAATCGTGAACTATCTGAAACTTTATTATTTTGTAACAAAGACCATTTTACAGTAGGGGAGAGTGAGGTCAATTGTAACAGGGTACGATTGTAACAGAGCAAAAATTTCGAGTGTCGGGTTCTAGATTTGGTTCCTAGGTGGCGCACAAGGTGTATTTAATAAATCTACATGTACACCCCTGATGGCAACCATTTTTATGTACTTTTGAAAGAGTTACATCACAAAAGATATTTTCACGCCACGCAAGTACTTTTTTTGGTATTAGAATATTATATTGTAACAAAGTAATTTTG